AGTCTCCAGGCTCCCAGGAGCCATGCCCTGTGTCCCTCCAACAAGGATAGGAGAGGAAGGGTGAGCTGGTGGAGTCTCCAAGCAGTGTCTGTTCCCAGAGGTGAGCTTCCCTGGATCTGGATGGGAGTCTCCCCTAGTGGCCAAGAGAAAACATTACCAAGCGGAAGGTCCGCAGCACAGCCAGGCCTCCCTTCTTGACCATGGTCAGCTCCAGCAAGCTTACGGTGACAATGATGCAGTCAAAGATGTTCCACTTCTTCTGGAAGTAATAGTAGGGGTCAAAGGCGATGATTTTGAAGACCATTTCAGTAGTAAAAAACACGGTAAAGATCTGTGGGTGAAAACAAGTCTTCATCACAGTAGGGTCTGTGGGGTCCGGGGGCAATGACAAAAAGGGCAGCAGAAAATTTGTCTTGTCAAAAGCAGCAAATCCTCTTACTTTGTTTTTGTTCAATTTCTATATTATCTGCAGGCTCCTGAGGACTAGGGATGGGAACAGTCATTGTGACAGAATAGAGAAATTTCTGAACAAAGGCTCAGGGAATGTGCATTAGAACCTATGCATCAGTTTTTCCATGTGAGTGGTGGTAGGAGCAGAGTAAGTGAGTAATCATTAGGATAATCATTATTGTATAATTATGTCAATGAGGAGAAGTCTGGTTCAGTAGTTTAAAATTGTGGGTTGTGGGACAACATAGACCGAGAAGAAAATCCCAACTCAGCCATTTCTTAGCTTGTGTAAGCTTGGACAAGGAATGTATCCTTTCCATACCTCAATATCCTCATCTGAATAATGGGCACAGCATGAGCTAATGCACGTGCAGTTCTTAGTAAAGGGCTTAGCAGACAGTAATTAATTAATAAATAGTAGTGATCAGCAAGAACAATAAGACATCATCTCTACAATTCTTTTTGGCTCTGAGTGTCTTCCATGGTCTTAAATAGGACAGAATTCTGACACTGGGAGAGGTCAGGACAAGGCTCAGGTCACCAACAATCAGCAGGGAAGAAGACAGATAAGAAAGAAAGCAAAGACCAGGGTCAGAAGCTTTTCTCTCATATGCTGTCTTCAGAGCCTCTCACCAGCCTGGGAAACAGGTGATTGTGAACCTCTTACAGAGAAGGAAACAGGCTGAGAGTTTAGTGACTTGTCTAATGCCAGAAGACTGCAACTGTGTAATTCAAAGATCATCTATCGAGTATCCTCTGTAGGCAAGTCAGTGTGGTGTGGGTGGTGGGGTTGAGGTCCTGTTCCCTAGAGAGACCTGGGTCAACTCTGGTTCCACCCTCACCAACTTGCAACCTTGGGCAGGATACTTAACCTTTCTGAGTCTTAGTGTTCTCTTGTGTGATGTGAGGATGACAATAACCTTGTAGAACTGTTGTGATGCCGAGCTAACATTCACAAAGCACCGGACTCATCAAAGGCACCAAACACACGCCTTTCTTTCTTTCTTTTTGAAAAATGGAACTGTGCTCTGACACACTGGGAAAGGTCTTTTCTCTATTTTGCCTCAATTTTTCTGACTATAAAATGAGGGTGTGGGCCCAAAGGTCTATTCCATCAGGCCCTCTGTAGTCGTAGGCTGACTTCTTGGAAATAAACATTCCCTTCACTTCCTGTTCTTTCTTTTCATATCAACTTTAAATAGAACATCAACTCTTAGTCTAGGTGCGGCCAAAATGTAAGGCATGCTAATTCTACAGTGTTCTGGAACCTACTACAGTCCATTTTACATTCCTGGACTATGGGAAAGGAGATTTCTGGAGAAGATTAGTTAAATTTCCTCTGGGACTCCCTCCACCTAAGTTTGCAGCCCATGAGGAGTCAGAAATGCCAGATGGTCCTGGTAAGCCACCTCCAGTGGGATAGACCCCACTGTGGACATGGAGGCAGGACTCTGACCCTTTCTAGCTTCTGCTTATCATGTGGGCATGTGTGTGTATGTGTGTGTGTGCACATACATGTACACACACAATTACAGGTCCTGTGAGGTGATCTAGTCCAGGGGTTAAGTGTCAAGAGCCAGTTTGCCTGGGTTTAAATCCTGGTATGGCCACTTACCCGCCTATATGATCTTGGGCAAATTATTTAACCTTCTGTGTCTCAGTTTTTCCATCCGTGAAAGGGGATAAGAATAGTACCTACTGTATAGGGTTGTTGTGAAAATAAAATTAGATAACCCATGAGGAGCAACTGAGAATATGCCTGGCCTTGAGTAAGAGTTCAAATAGAGCTGGTTGTTATTATTCCTGTGGATGGGACAGGGTTTGGGGCAGTTGCTCTCTCTCTGAGTCAGATACTTTACTCAGAATGTAGTAAAATCTAGTATGGATTGTATTGTGTTAAAAGCAAATAATACTAAAAAAATAATGGAGGAAAATATAACATAGTATCATGTCTAAACTAGATGCAAAAGAAAAGTTCTGACTCCCTGATGGCTTTTGTTACAACAGCAAACACGTTTTCATGTTCCCTTCCCTCCCACTATCTTTCCCTTTCTTCTCCCATTCTTTCTGTCCTTAAGTGACAGCATTGAAAGTCATAGCCATTGTTAATTGCAGTCATAAAAGTAATAGACTGGAGGGAAATTTACAAGTCCATAGATTGTCTCTAGATGGGAAAGTGACATTTATCCTCATTTCAAGGTAGAGGCAACTGAGATCCAGAGAATTCGAGTGGCTGTCCTATATTCTGTAAAGGGGAACTAGCTTAGGGCTCTGTCACTCAGGGCTCTAGCTCAGGGCTGTCTCGGTCCACTTTCCTGTGCTTGTTTGTCCCAAAACAATTCCCACCAGCTCAACCTGGCCCTCCAGAGTTGACTTCCTGAACCCGGTGTCCACACATCTCCTTCACTGCTGCTCTGCTCTCAGCTAACTAGATCAACACACTCAGGGCTGTCTCGGTCCACTTTCCTGTGCTTGTTTGTCCCAAAACAATTCCCACCAGCTCAGCCTGGCCCTCCAGACTTGACTTCCTGAACCCGGTGTCCACACATCTCCCGCACTGCTGCTCTGCTCTCAGCTAACTAGATCAACACACGAACGATCGATGGCATGCTCCCACCCCACCCAAATCCCCCAGCCTTAACTGTGTGGGCAATGCCTGCCAGAGCACTCACAATGTTGCCTGTCTGGAACATGGTTTCAAAGGTGGCGCTCATGCCATGGTGCTCCATGGCCATGAAGACAGTGTTCACCACGATGCACAAGGTGATGGTGAGCTCTGCAAAGGGGTCTGTCACAAGCCCAAAGAGAACTGTCTTGAGCTTCACCCATGTGGGGCAGCACTCCCAGATCAGATACTTCTGAGCCAAGCTGATCAAGCAGGGTGGGCATCTCCGTTCGGACTCCTCGAGTTCTGCATTACAGATGTGGTCAATGACAGCTGTTAGCCATGTGTCATCTTGGACCCCCATCCCGTAGTCATCTACGTCCAACATCTCTACTTTAGCCCTCTCTCCCTGATTACCATTTCCTACTTTTTGAGCTCATTTAGTCCTGCAAATCCAGTCTAATCCCAGTCCTTCAAACCACTGATGCTATACATTTTTTACTCCCCATTACCTGTGTCATTCCTTACTCTTCAACTTACCCGGCTTAGATTTCACATCCATCCCTTTAACTACTCCCTTGCAGAGACCCTCATTTCCTTTACCCCTGTCCTTCTCCATTGTACTTGCCTGGCAAAATCCTAACTCTGAATAAACCCAATTTTCAGACTATTCTGCACTTCCACCAACAAGCTAAACCTAGCTAGAAAAAAGCACACAACCGTGCTTACTGTTCCCACTAAAGATCCAGGATCCCAGCTTGTCCCTGCCCAGAAATCCCACTGTGTCTGTGTTTAGTCCACTCCTTCAGTCTTCCAAACTACCATTTCTCAGTTCCTCTTCTCTCCTCCAACCTCCAGCTCTTCATCTCTACTCCCCACTCTCCGATTTTATTTCACTCAGAGAATAAAGTTGCTCACAAAGAACTTTCTCCTCTTCCTACCATAAGTCTCCAATGTATCTGCAAGTCCGTCCCTTGTTCTGCCTTTATGTCCCTCACTGTGTGTGAGGTGCTCTACCCCTCCCACTTCCTCTCTCACCTACTCAAGACCTGGGTCATTCCCTTCTCTCCCTTCTGGACCATTCCCATCAGCATGTCAACATGCTTTCTTTATATCTCACCTTTGAAAAAGGTCTCCCTGGACCCCATGTTCTTCTTCATCTACTGCCCCCTTAACAACAAAATTCCTTGTGAGAGTTTTCTACACTTCACCGTCTCCGCTTTTTCCCCTCTTTTTCTGTCTGCAGCCCCTGGAATCCAGATTTCACCTTTTTCCAAATTCAGTT